GCCCGAGGATCCAGGGCAAGTAGCAATCGAGTGTTCGACGAATGGGTCTTTTCCTCCAATCATTCCTGTGTCATTCTGACCATAGCTCAGGTTAAGATTGTAAACGTCGACGTGGTCACTTTCTAGTCCTCCAAACGACACTTGCTGGCTTTTGCGGTGAGGATGAGAGATGCTGAAAAGCCTAAGTGAATGAGGATAACGATCAGGGAATCCGACTGAAAAAATTCTTCGAAAGTGTTCTTGTAAGGTAACGGGTTTCATCTCTAATGGTTTCACATTTATAAACTTAGCTTTCTGCTCTTCATTTTGTAGTGGCTTCAAGTACAAAAATGCATAATCTAAGAAAGCATCCCTAACGTTGAAATACGAATCGAGGAAACTTAAAGCTTCTTTAGCTTTTCTAATATATGGCGAATCTTTCGTGCCATCTCCATGTAACGCTTTTTTCATAGTATCTCGTAGAACGTTTTCCTCTTTATTCTTGTCTGGAGGCGATACTTTTTCAGTCCTCTCTACTTCGTGAGTAACCTGTGCATTGCCCAATTCACTATCATCGTAAAAAGAAGTAACTCGAACATCGCGTGGTTCGACTATACTAAAATCAATCCCTTTACCTTCTTATGCTATGTGAGTTGGTAATTACAACAACGTCGTTGTTTACTTGAACAAGGAAGCCTGTGCCGTAGGCCTTCTTAACTGTAATACAAACCACTGCGTCGGAAAACTTTTTTAGACATTGCACTCCTTCCTCTGAACTGAGGAGTATTTGATCTTCATAAGTTAATCCTTTTTTGTTGACAAAAGTTTCCTTTTCTTCGCTCGATAAATCTTTGAAGCGAAGAGCATCAGTGATAGAGATATAACGCTCGTGGAAATTGACATCTACATGCTTCTTTTTGCACGAATTCCAAGTTTCACGGTTCGTTTTTAGATCAGCCTCTTCTCCTTGAGTATTCAGTATTCCTGACTCTTCCTCGTACTCCCACTCACTAACAAAGCTGACAACTTGATCGTTGGAGGCCATGTTAAGCCAAGACTGCCAGATAGAAATGCTGCAATAAACTTCGATAAACTATTATTTATTTATGAGAGCTCAACAGCCAATGGTGATCATGTTTTAGCGGTACCACGGAAACCAGTGTTAATGTGACGTAATTTAAACGTCTTTCATTGTCTTAAGTGATTTAGTTGTAATAATTCAATTTCGGACAATTTGTTTCTATATTTTCACTATCGATATTTAGAAACTAATCCCTTTTTCTTTAACGAAAGTTTCCTGTTCTGGGTTTGATAAAATTCGCTATGAAGAATATCGTTTATCGAATATAACGCTGTCCCGCGGGGGAGGGGGGGGGGGTACTCCCTTATATAGGCTATATAGGTATGCGCGACGCCAAAGGGTATGGTTTTTTAGCCCTTTTGGTCTAAAATAGGATATCAATTTTGACCATTTTGGTCTGAAATAGGTTATGGTTTGTGGACTCTAGGCTTGAGTTGGGTATGTTTTTTATTAGTTGGGTATGTTTTTTATTTCCCTTTTAATGTTTACGCCAACCGTGTACGTGCCGTAACAGCTTGTCACGTACTGATTGATTTAAGGTTCAGGTCTGAAACAGGGTAGGGAAAATCACAGATTTTGGTCTGAAATAGGGTAAGGGTTTCAGGAAGCGTGCTGCACACCCCCAACTAAGAACCCAACCCCCCCTTACCCCGAGGTGGAAGTTAACCTCTGCCTTCAGCTTCCAATCTTCGCAGTTCCTTTTTGTCAAAGATCTACAATCCTCTTCGCCTTCAGTATCCAGTATTCGGTCCTATTCTTTACCCTTCTCCCATATATATGCAAAGGTGACTTTATCTCTGGACGCAATGTTGATTCAAAACTGCGAGATTGCTACTGAAATATGGTACGTATACTGAGTTTTAGTTCACGATCGCTTCTGCGTACTCTATAACCAATAGTGAATCATGTTTTTTGCAGGAGAGTACCATGCGAGGCATTTTAAAGAAAGAGATCATATAAGTTTTCATAATTTTCACTGATTGCAAGCAAGGACGGAATTAGTTGTCAGCTTGTGCGTGCCGGTATGTTTGATATGTTGACAATTAGAAAGCCTAGTGATAATTACATAGCTCAAGAATGCCCGTTATAGCCGTTTTTCTGCATTGAGATGGCAACATCTGCAATAAGCCATCTTTCAAAAGCAGCACAGCTTTTAGATGAGCCTGCTGCGGTTACTTTTAAGACAAACTGCAACACAGCTTTCGCACTTAAGTCATCCACCTCTTAGCGAAGCCAAGAAAAGATGGAGCCTCAGTTATAAAATGGTGAATATAAGAACGCATTTTGGAGGAGCTCACAAACATCATCAAAACCGACATTTGAGTCAATTTCACAGTTGTAATGAAAGACTAAGTGGTGTGGAATTCGAGTCTGTACGGCGCGAAACCATAGGATACAAATTTAGGCTTCGATTTCCACGACTAGATCGCGCTGACCTCTCATAAAAAATTTTTGGGTGCATAACCACTTCTGAGGTTGCCTTAAGGTTTAAGGTGACTCGACCCAGTTTTTTTTGGGGGGGGGGGGGGGAGTACCATCCCACTTTGAAGCTCTCTGGTATCCCCACCTTTACTTTTATCGTAAGTCTAACACATAGAATGGATAACATATAGATCAATCCACAATATAACATAAAATTTTGGGCGATCGGAGTAAATGTCACGTGGTTATAATGCCACGCCCCTTTGAGGTCTGAGTCGAAAATCGGCTGTTGCCGGCATTTTTTTGTAAAAATCTTTCGGCTACAGATAGTGCGCATTAGTGCCTTGCGCTGAACAGAGTTTCACCAAAATCGCAAAGACCTTATTCGAGAAATTCAGCGGTTTCCAAATTTTGGTCATAATTTATGCGAAAATGATAAGCAAACTTTACACTGATTATATCTAATAAACCAAGAGATTCATCCCTTTATTTTGGGCATCGTTATAACAGATGGGTCCTTGCAAGTCAGCAAAACGCTTTAGGGCCTTGTAAATGCGCGCGATTTCGAGCAAAGCAAACATATAGAAATTATAGTTTTCGCTATTTGTTGACGTTTGTCAGCGTTTTAGAGTCCTTCTCACGAAAAAAGCATTTTCTTAAAAATTCGTAGTTTTTTTTCCTTCAAATTTTTTCAGGGCCACAATTGATTAACTAACTACCCGGACTCTGAATTTCATGGTCATTGAAAAACTGTGACATTATCTTCTATAAGCTCAAACTTGAGTAAACATTGAAGATTTTTAGCGTTTTAGCTGAGTTTGTGCTTTGGGAGTTGTCTATTGTTTCTAGTCTGTCATTATACAGCATTCTTGTTCAGCACGCGTGCAATGACCCCGCTTGGCTGACTTCCGAATGGTCACCGAGATATTCCCGTCACGAGTTGGTTTAATTATTGGCTTGCATTAAACCTATGAAAAAATGATATTTTTGTAATAGTAAGTAGACTTAGTGTGTAGCACTTCTTGATTTTTTTGCAAAGACACAAGAAGCACGAGAATTGATTAAAAATTGTTAGTTAAACCTCTATGTATCATGCGATGGCCTGTCTCACTGTACCAAAATTATAATATCTCGGTGAGCATTCGGAAGTCAGCCAAGCGTGGTCATTGCACGCGTGCTGAACAAGAATGCTGTATAATGACAGACTAGAAACAATAGACAACTCCCAAAGCACAAACTCAGCCAAAACGCTAAAAATCTTCAATGTTTACTCAAGTTTGGGCTTATAGAAGATAATGTCACAGTTTTTCAATGACCATGAAATTCAGAGTCCGGGTAGTTAGTCAATCAATTGTGGCCCTGAAAAAATTTGAAGGAAAAAAAACTACGAATTTTTAAGAAAATGCTTTTTTCGTGAGAAGGACTCTAAAACGCTGACAAACGTCAACAAATAGCGAAAACTATAATTTCTATATGTTTGCTTTGCTCGAAATCGCGCGCATTTACAAGGCCCTAAAGCGTTTTGCTGACTTGCAAGGACCCATCTGTTATAACGATGCCCAAAATAAAGAGATAAATCTCATAGTTTATTATATATAATCCGTGTAAAGTTTTCTTATCATTTTCGCATAAATTATGACCTAAATTTGGAAACCGCTGAATTTCTCGAATTGGGTCTTTGCGATTTTGGTGAAACTCTGTTCAGCGCAAGGCACTAATGCGCACTACGTGTAGCCGAGAGATTTTCACGAAAAAATGCCGGCAACAGCCGATTTTCGACTCAGACCTCAAAGGGGCGTGGCATTATAACCACGTGACATTTACTCCGATCGCCCAAAATTTTATGTTATATTGTAGATTGATCTATATGTTATCCATTCTATGTGTTAGACTTACGATAAAAGTAAAGGTGGGGATACCAGAGAGCTTCAAAGTAGGATGGTACCCCCCCAAAAAAACTGGGTCGAGTCACCTTAAGTCTGTCTTTTGGTCAAATGATAGATCTAGGTGGAGACTTAAATGGCATCCCTAAGCACCATTTGTAATTTTGCCATTTTGAATGTATTTTAAGATGTTTGTATTTCAAACTGTTGATATTTTTTTGAGTTAAATGTATATAGTAGGGTTAGAATTCTTATAGTACTGTTTTACTTTTTAGGTGCTTTTTATGGTGTTTTTGGCGCCATGAATTTATCAATGTTTTACTACTATCAGAGTGTCACCCTCCATATATAATATAAACCCTTCCTGTTGCTGCTGCTGCCATAACTGAAAAGCTAGACTGTTTACAGTCCTCTATTTTTCCATAATAGGGAGCTTACGAATTGACGACTTTCGCACGACGACGCCGTTGGACTGCGTGACAGGCTTACTGCGCATGCTTATCTTGGCACTTACCGGCGTTGCGCCAAAGTCGACGCCGTTGTTGACAGCGATTCGCCGGCGTCCTAGAAAAAGCAGGACGTGAGGCTAATTTTCAAGGTTTTCCCTACATACTCCCGCGGATTTTCCAGATAACTCAAGTATTACATTAGGGACATGTTCTTTACATATGTTTTCGATTTGTTTATCTGTTTTCATTGGATTAACGACCCGAAGAATCAACACCATAGCTAGCTGTAGACAAACATAAAAAAAATTAATTAACAACGAGTGAAACCATATTGGCGAGATGGTTCCAAGGCTACAACTAGACCATTGCAAGTGGTTATCTCATCACAGTAACTACAGCTGTTCGGCAAGTTTATAAATGCCCTCCCCGTATATAAACGCGCTTTGCATTCGTTCTTTGTTGCCTCGTCTAAATCCGTAGTTAGCTCTGAGTTTGCTGACGAAACGCATAAAAGTACAGATACAGTAAAATACTCGGTCCTTCATAAATCTGTTTCCTTAAGCTTCTGCAATACGGGCTCTCATTTGTCTTATGAATTTAGACATTTTGGTTGAACAAACAAGCTTACTTGTGAAA